GCTTCGAGGCTGTAGTAAATCGTTTTGTTAAGATTGCGCCCACTTCTCGGCCCACTCGACTACGAGATTGTCCCCGACGGCATTACGAACTCTAAACGGCACCGATCGCGACCGGAAGTCGTCCATGTCGCATGCCTCAAGCCGTTTCATGAACGTTAGCGAACTGAGAGTGTATTTTGTTGTTGTTATTATTGCTGTATCGTACTTTATTATTTGTACTTTCTTACATTACTATTGCACTTTCATCTTCTGTTAAAGCATCGGGACGATGCCTTTTTCAGAGAGGGGGAGATGCCACGTTCCATTCCTCAAGTTTTGTTATCGCCCCGTTACACTACGTTCAGGGCAAATCGCACCTACGATGTTCGAAAAGCTTCAAGGCTGTAGTAGATCGTTTTGTTGAGATTACGCTCACTTCGTGAACAATACAGATTATTCTGGAACCTACGGCACCGCTAGCGATAATACTAGAACATTCCACGGCAAGTGTATAAATGCCGACGCGCTTCGCCGCTTGTCAGTTGATCGACGGCTGACACTCTGCTCGCCGCTATCAGTGCCAGTGCCTTGCTGTTATCTGACTTTCCTTTCACGTGGCCACAAGTTAGGCTCGAATAAACAGTTCATTATCCGACCATCTAGTCCTTTGCCTTCAGCCACGTCACGACCCTGTGGCAATACTTTGATGTGTCGTTGTTCACGCCTAACCACACAAACTTCTCCCTGATGCGCTGCAATGTCTTGAAGAATCCTGCATGGGCACTTGCTGGGTGGTCATGGGCCATCTGCAGGACCAAGGAATGAAGGTGAGTAGGCAACCAAGCCATTGTGTGGTTGCCGCAGCATTGTACCAGAAGTCTCAATGACTCTAGATGGGATGTGCATGCTAGGTCCTCCAGGATACGGGTTTGGGCAATGCCTTTCGACAGAAATTCTCCCAGGATAGTCTTCATTATCTCACACAAAAGGGCGTCATGTTGTTGTTCCTGTGCTAGTTCTTCTGCATTGTTTATGACACTGAGGTCCTCAACAGTGGTCAGCAGGCAGGTTTCAAACGTGACAGAGCCTTCGTCAGTGCCCAAGTTAAGTGGCAAAAGTCCCTCAGGCAGTCTTTTAGCTGCTGTCTTGAAGTCTGGCTTAACAGGTGCCCGGCTTAAGGCATAAGCAGGGATGTTGGCCTTCCCACGACGGTGCTTACTTTTGCACTGAAACCCTTAAAGGCGTAGTACCCAGTGGCGCACAGGAGAACAACCCTCTTAGTGATGAACATCCAGACTAATGACGCATGATCACTGTGGACTTCAAGTTCTGTGAATTCCAAATATGGTCGAAATTTCTCCACAGACCATACAACAGCCAAACACTCCCACTCCTGGACTGCGTAATTACGCTCCGAATCCGACAAGCCTCTGCTGATGAATGAAACTGGCTTCAAAATGCCATCCCGATGTTGCAGCAGCACTGCTACTATACCCACACTACTGGCATCTGTTTCAGCTATGAATGGTGCATTGAGGCCTGGCAAGCTGAGAACTTCATCTGTTGCCAGCATTGCACAGAGAGTTGCAAATGACCGTTCTTTAATGCTCGTCCACTGCCATCGCTGTTGCTGCTTGAGCAAGTTCGTCAATGGCTTAGTAGTGAGAGAAAATTGTGGAAGAAAGTTCTTGTAGAATCCAGCCAAGCCCAAAAATGTCTGCAGTTGCTTTCTGTTGGAAGGTCGTGGGTACTCTGCCACTGCACGCACCTTATCTGGATCTGGCCTGCACTCTCCTGAAGAAACAACATGACCAAGAGTAGAGGGATTGGGTGCACTGTTGCACTTTGATGGGATTAATTGTAAGTCCTGCATTCTCGATGCGTTGGAGAACTTCACGAACATGTACCAGGTGATCTTCTACTGTTGAAGAGTACACCAAGACATCATCCAGGAATGCCATTGCAAATCTGTGCTTTATACTCTCAAGAACCCCGTCCATCAAACCTTGAAATGTAGCCGGGCCTCCCGCCACACCAAATGGCATCCTTGTGAACTCAAAGGTGCCCCTATGACATGAATGCAGTCTTCTCAACATCTTGTTCTCGTAGTGGAATTCGGAACAACCCTTGGGACCACTGGGCATTACCTAGTTGCGCCAAGAGCCAGTCAGTGCGAGGCATCGGGTGCACTGGTACCTTCGTGCAGGAGTTCAAATGTCTGTAGTCAACAGGCACACAGTAGCCTCCGGATTTTTTCCCACCAGATCCGGTGCGCTTGTCCAGCTACTTGTGCCGCGTCTCATCAGGCCTCCTTCCAGCATCTCGTCCAAACAGGCATCTCAGGCATCTATAATGCGTTGTTTCTTTAGATTGACTGGGCACAGCTTTGTGCGCACTAGTGTGCTGTCACCTGTGTCGATACAGTGCTCAATGAGCGTAGTACAACCAGGCAACTTTGTGCACAGTGCCTTGTACTCTCCCAACAGGCCTCTGAACTCATTCAATACCTCTACCCGCTGCCCTGAGCAACTAATTGTGTTGCATGCCACAACGTCTCAAACAGACCTCCAAGGCAATTGGCATCATCCACTGTATCTCGGACAACCTTTATGTTAGGTTTGGCAAAGGGCACAACTAGCTGTGGTTCCATGCCCAGAGTCCATCCTCCCAAAGCTATGTGCAAGGAAATGCCACTGGCTGTAAGGAAGTCCCTTCCAAGCACCACATCTTGGCACAGGTTGGGCTCACAAAGAAATTTTTTAACTCGGGAGCCGCCATTCCACTCTATCTTGCATTGGGTACACACGGAGCTTTGGGACCAACCTGATGCCAAGCGAAGTGTTCGAGTTTCACCGTACTGGTCGCCAGTGGACCCAGGAGACTCACGCTGGACCCAGTGTTGAGTAAGGCACAGAACGTCGTACTGCCAATTTTAACGTCCAAGAGTGGCTCCTTCCCTCTTCCAGCAGAAGATGCAACTTGCATACTAAAATCGCTGTAGGCACTCCCCAGACCAGTGCTTACTGGCGCCCGTTTACCAAGCACGGCGCCTGAAAGTGCCTTGGTCGGCCGCACTGGAAGCAAACGATTTCGTCTTGGCGTGGTGTACTCGCACAGTTGTGTGCCATGTGGCTGACACCGCAACATCATTGGCAAACAACTTGGTTAAGTGCCCGTTGAGGTCGACGTCCCACTGGTGGTCTGAACGTTGGCACGCCGACAGGTTGGACCTGATTGATGGGCCACTGGTCCCGCTGGTATGATGGTTGCACTGCTGCGAGGTGGAGGGGCCACGTTACCCAGGTGTCCAACTGGCATTCGGTGCGGAGACGACCGCTGTGGAGTGCTGGGGTACTGCCATTGTGTCAGGCATGCCATGCGCCGAATATTCCAAGTCGCACGTGACTTGGTTTATTTTGGGTGGCAAAGGCCGATACTGTAGCCAGCGCCGCGCTCACTTCATCAGGCCATCGGCTACATCTGCCAAAGCCTTTAAACATGAGAAGGTGGACCCCGCTACCAAGTCTTGCAGCTGGATGTGCATCTGACGCAGCACCCTGTCGACCTTGATGTCGTCCGCAACCTCCTCTCCGATTCGGTCGTAAAACTCCGTGATAACATATATGAATTCCTTCAGGTTTTCCACGAAGTGCTGGGTGCATGCCTCCAATTCATCCTTCAGCCGCTTCGTTACGTCGGCCGACGCAAATTCCCGACGGAAAGCTGCGACAAAGTGATCTCACGAAGTGAAAGGTCCGGCGAAGCAATAGCACAACTTCGCGCTGCCATCAAGCGCTGAGGCAACGACGCGGTGAACTCGGTATTCTGTGGGTATGCCATTAATCAGACAAAAATTCACCACCTTGCTGAGGAATTCCTTCGGTGTCTGTACATCCCTGAACCCCGTGAACTTTGGCAGTGTGGTCGCAATAGGCGATGTCACTGTCATTAGCGTAGCCGGGATCGGCGGTCGAACAAAGACCGGTAGGCATTTGTTGCTCACGGGCGTCACGAAAGCGACCATTAGCGCTTGCCGCAGCTCGGCAGCTAGACATTCGCATTCCATAGCAGATCCATTATTCTGCTTCAGCATAAACTGCATGAATTCGTCACGGATTTCAGTCGGGTCCATCCCGGACGAGCCCCCAGTTGTCATGTTCGTTAGGCCTAACTTCCCAGTTGCCGCAACTGCATACGCCCTACCACAACACCGTCCGCTCACACACTGCCCACACAGGACCAATATCCGCTCTTACCACCTCATCTAGAGGGCGCCGTATGCCCTCCCATTAATACCAATAGATGTCCTCACAAGACATGATAAAAAAATCGCCCCTATACCTTAAGTATTGTTGCAAGTTCCTCATCACAGTGATGCCAGTCAAGATAAAAGATAAACCAACTCAGCGGCTGTGATAACTGGCTACACATAGTTCAAGGCAGAGTCACTTACTTGTAGTAAAAGAGTTCAAAAATATTTTTTTGCACGAGGTTGCCAAGTCCGGGTACTGCAATAGTGGCATCTCTCTATGGATTTCTCTGGGGTGCTATTCTGGACATTGTTGAATTCCGCCATGTTGTCAGATTCCACCATTGATCGATGCTAATTAGCTAAGTAAGCTCCTACGACCTCTCTGATTGGCTTAGAATGCCCCCATTACGAAATTTGACAATATGGCGGAATGAGACATTGTCCAGAATAGCACCCCTGCACTTAAAAGCAGTCGAAATTGCCTCTGCATGAGCCAACAAGCCACCGACCCTATTACGCTGATGCACTGCCAAATTTTACAAGTTGTTTGTTATTGGTGCTGACATGAGACTCTCAGGACGATAAAATGGCAACCATATTCCGTTAGTATACAGCTGCATAGTGAAAATGTTGAGACTGATCGTTTCAAACGGTGCACCGCTAAAGTCACCTGAAATACACGTTTTTATGGAGCACACTTATTTTCCCTCAAAGCTGAAGAGAACACAACCAACGAAAAGCAGAAAGGAATACAAGTTCTGAGGTGTACCTGATCTTGCCAAAAGAACCAGACACTGTCGCGAGGACAGTCTCGAGGGAGGCATCATCCTGGTAGAAACCAGAGATTATGAGCTGGTGAAGTGCATTGCTGAGTCCCACCACATCCCGCTTGTCCGAGCATAGCAGCTTGCAAACTCCTTTGACCAGACCTGTGCAATTCAGACAATGCGCCAGGAGTCAAACTAGAATGCCTCACATCACGTGCGCAAAACTACAGAGCACCACTGTAAGTACCCTTGCAGAGAAGCATGCGAAGAAGTGGCACAGTTTAAGGGCGGGGGAGCTTGGAGGTTCTTCGCTTCAATTTAGAGCACAGCTCTTAGGTACCTGTGTTCAATGGCGTCCCCATTGCTCTCACCACCGCTGTCGGTGGCAAACCAATAGACATAAAAAAGTAACCCACCAACATGAAAAAATAAAGTGAGAAAAAGAATACCAAGGATCGAATGAGGTTTGAACCTGGGCCCCCTGCGTGACAGATGAGTATTCTACCACAGAGCCAGGTTGGTGCTTGAAACTCATCTGCTATACAGGTATGATGTTAGGCCAAGAATCGCGTTAAGCTATGTGACATATCGTGGCATAACAGTACAATAACAACCACTCAGCAGGTAATTCTAATTGCACAATGAGTGTGTGGTTTAATGCTTCCAACCCATAGCAAAATGCTCCACCGTAATGCTTCATCACCCGGCACATGCCACATAAGTGCACATAATACCACAGATATGTGTAGCGGATACCTCACTTATCTATAGAAAGACAAATAATGGCATACAGGGTGTTGTCCAAATTCACAAAAATTACGATTTATGGCATAGCCAATACCTTGATGAAAGCCCCAACTTTTAACACAGTAGGCCTTGCCCCAATACGTAGCTGCGTTCAGAACACACATTAGGCAGTATCATAATCGTCTGTAATTTTTTTTTTCATTTTCTTAATAAGTATGTTCACCAGCTACACAGGCATGACTAATACAAAGCATTTTTGTCAAGAGAGAGAAACATAACACTCATTTGCACCCGTATAGAATATGGGGGAGGAGGCTTTGGCCTCTGCCCCCATTCATCCCCGTAGCCGTAGGCCGGTACCCTTTGAGACCCGGTAGCGGTCAGGGCGAGAGCAATGACTGCATTCTTCAGCGTCCAAGGCTGCGTTATAAGGTCTAAAGCTTGTGCAGATATTCGAATGCCTCAAATATTCAAAGGAATAGTGAAGTGTTCGAATTCGCTCTGCTTCAAACTTAAATTATTGAAAATTCTGGAGTATTTGCAATGAACGAACAGATTAATATTAGTCCACATATAACCACCTGCAAATGTGGTTTCACTGCAGTGCAATGATTCTAAGCCATAAAAGCTGCCATTCAGGGGAAAGCCGCTCTGCCGTGAGGCCCCACTTCAAATTTAAAGAGACCTTCCAACACTTTTCAAGCATGGTAAGAAAACGTTGCCGATTGGTAGTCGAGGCTGCCAAAAACACGCAAGCATGCCCCAGCCTGCAATTCATAATAAATTCTCAAAGTCGGCTAAAAATTGCTCTCTTCTCTCAGCAAATAATGCCACAATCTCAAAAATCCCTCATCACAGCCATTGAATGATTTGAGCATGGCGCGCTCGGTCGTTATTGGGGCCGCCACTGGAGGCTGCAACTTGTTCACACATATATGCGCGATTGCACTGAAAGCCGTGTATTTGAAGGAAAGAAAGATGAGAAAGTGGTCAAGGTCGCGAGGCGCGCTCGACATATTTTCTTTCACAATGCCTTCCCTCCCTGCTTAGCTTCCAGCGCTTTTGTCAGGATGAGAGGAGAGAATGCAATTGCCGCATGCAATAAATATTTGAAACTCCACTCTTACTGGACAGATTCTAAAAACAATTGTGGTGGTGATTTCATGAGGCAATAAGCTTTTTAGCGAATTTATTACTATGGCCACTTGTTAAAGTGTTGCAGGGCCCCTTTGAATTAAAATATTACCCTCAAATCAATTTATCAATTTTTAAGCTTATAAGCTTTTTATTGCGGCTTACATGCTCTGAGTATGATAAATTTTCAAATGTTACGTGTTTTACAGGTTGTCACTCGCATCCTGCTATACTAAAAGTTGTTCCGACATCCTTTGAACGAAAAAAAGGCACTTGCGTAGAGGCCTTGTTTCAATTGTTAAAAAAAATATTCTGCAGATTAGTTCGGTCATAATAAAATGGCCATTTTTCTTTATAAAATATGTGGGAATTGAGGCTGGCCCGCTGCCTTTAAGCGGGCTTTCCCGCCTTTTCTGCCGTTCTCATGTCCCGACATGTCTGCCCTCCTTGCTGTCTGCCGCGCTGGGAAGGGCGGAGTGACGTATAACTCCCTCACCCGGTAGCGGATGTTGACTGTGGCGCCGCACGCGGGGACCCCTGGGAGGTTTTCGCGCGCTGCGTCGGGAGCGGTCAGATACTCTCCGGGACAGCAAACGGTGAGCCACGCTATCTTTTCGTCCGTCGACTCCCGTCAGTCGGGGGCTCGTCGGACTTCGCTGACGGCGCCTCGCGCCCAAGGCGAACGCTCACCCGCTGTTTGCCCCGCTGCGTACGCACGGCCGAAGGGCGGTACGGTGTCCTAGTGCGTGGCCTCGCTACGCCGACCCGTCTCCCTTCGAAGCCAACGCGAGCGCCTTTGCCCTCGCTCGAGCAACCGGGCCTTTGCTCCGGTGTCTCCGTGGATCGGCTTTACCGCGGAGACGTGCTCGTGGCACCCCTGTGTAGTACTTTGTGCCCGTGGCGTGGATAAGCCTACTTGCTTTCCCGCCGCGCCTATTTGCAACGGGCTGTACTGCGTTTGGTGTTGCCACAATAAAGTGTTGCGACTTGAGCAGTATCGTGTTTCCCGCCACGGCGACGGTTAACGCGTGCCCTGCGGCTCGCTAAGACCGGACCCACGCTGGTGGCCGTACTCCTTCGGGATACGTGTACACCACACTGGCGCCCAACGCGGTATCAAAAGCTCTAGCTTTTGATTGCTCTTAGCGAGTCAGTTCGCCTGCGCGATTCGGGCTCGTCGCAACATGGCTGCTTCGCGGGACTTTTGTCCGCTGTCCCTTTTAGCGGATGCCGCGTTGCACACGGAGGCCATTGCCTCTGTGGACGGGAACCCTTCTGCACCCGTCCGTGTCGGCACCCCCTATTGCGGTGACGACACGAGGCGCCTAGCCGCTCCCTTTGGAGATGGCGCGTCGCTTCGGAATGGGCCTCTTGCCCTACCCGAACGTTACGCACAAGCGCCTCCGACTGCTAATGCGCCCTTTGGCATGCATGGCAGTTCGTCGGCACAGCGCTCGCAGTCGGTTCCCTGCGGAATTGACGGGGCCCTCGCCGACTTTTGCCCGCTATCAGCCGTGCAACCGACACTTCGACCGCACGCTGAGCAGGCGCCTGAATTGTCGATGGTAGCCGCACCAAGTGCGCCTTTGGTTCGACAACAGGCAAATCCCACAAGGAGCCTATTTTGCTCTGGGAATGGCGCGCAGGGCGGTGGTCTGTTTGAAACCGCCCCACTGATCGAGCTGGGCGACTGCTCGCCTTCGCTCGACCGCGCCGCTAACGCACCAACGGTTTCCTACGAAGCCGGTGCGACGACGCAGACTTTGCTGCAAAACGCCGTGCAGATGATCCAAGCACTCTCGGGAGCTGTGCAAACGCTTTCGGCTGTTCCGAAAAGCGGTCACCCCGCTGTTATGTTGCCTGTGCCAACCTACAGCGGATACGGTGATCAGCTCACCGCCCGAGATTACCTCGACTCTCTGTCACGTTATCAGAGAGCGATGGGTTTGGATGATAAGGTGGTGCTCGAACGTGTTGTTCCAGCTGCACTGACTGACACGGCGGCGAGATGGTATCGGCTTTCCGGTTATCGTGCAGCAAACCTCGAGGAATTTCGTGCGGTCTTTTTGCGCGAATTCCTACCCGCTGACTACGAAAGTAGGATGCGGCGAGAGCTCGAGCTCCGTACACAAGCTCCTGACGAGTCTTTACAGGAGTATGTACGGGCGATGGATGAACTTATTTCTATCGCTGAGCCTCGAACGAGGAACGCGTCGAACGGGTGATACGGCAGGCACATCCGACTTTTTCGGCATACCTGCGCGGCGGCCGCTTCAGTGATTTGGAAGCGTTGGCCGCCGAGGCGACGCGCATCCAAGGCGACATTCTCGCCGCGCGTGCCTATCGCCCGCCGCCGCCAGCCAGCGACGCCCTTGAGCCGCGCTGCGCTTGGAGAGGGGCCATGACCCTTCCCCAACGGCAACAGCCTCTCCGCGCCGCCTTTGCGGCTGCAACCGGCTGTGCGTGGGAGTTGAGCGATCGCGCTCTTGACCCCTTTACGCATGAAAGGCGGGCAGCCTGCGCTGCTCCGCCTGAAACCTCCATACAGGGACGCTTTTCGACCCAACGTAATGTTGGAGGTGCGGCTCGCAGAAACGTATCCTACGATGACGTAGCGAGCCGATCACGACAGCTCGAAGCTGCTCCGTCTGGGAATACAGACCGTGATGGAGTGCGCTGTTACCGCTGCCGCGAAAGAGGGCACATAGCAAGGGAATGCACCGGATCCAGGCCTCCTGCGAGGCAGGGAAACGGGCTTCCGGGTCGTTCGTGAATGCACGACCGACCCAACCTTTGCTTCTTCCCTCTGCGTGCAGGGCAAGCACTTTTCTTGCTGATACGCACGCGCCGTTCATTCCGGTCACCATTGCCGGCCGTGAATTTTCGGCTTTGCTGGACACGGGCGCTAGCGCCTCGTTGTTTGGCGAAGCAGTGTTGTCCCACTTGCGGAAGCACTCGGTGCGCTTGCGGGACAGCCGAACGACCTTCACCCTTGCGAAAGGCGTGGCCCATTCGGCAGGCGCTGCAAGGTTGACTGTCCGATGGGGAGATCGAATGAGACGCTGCCGTCTTATTCATCTTCCAGGGCTCAATGTTCCAGTGATTCTCGGTCGGGACTTTCTCCTTAAAACCGGTATCGTTGTGGACATTGCGAATGGCGGCTATCGTGATGGCCCATTTTGCCAACTCAAGCCGTTCATCAGCCCGCCGGCGCTTACCGTCGCCTTTGCGGCAGAAGCGTCGGAAACGTGCCTTGCGCAGAGTTCGGGGCCAAGCCCCCG